ATTCCGGCTTGTAGAATCACCCTTCAAATTTTCCACCAACAGTCACCGAACACCCTTAATAATACACTAACCAAACATTCTCATTTTTAATCCAACAAAGAAACAATCTGCCTAATTTCTCTTCAGAATGTCCATATACAATCTTAATCGAATGAAATACTAAAATGGCAACTTTGTGATGCGTGAACACTAATTAGTCCTGCCGTGATTGATATATTTAATTAAAATTTGCCCAAGTTGAATACGACCTGCTTTGCTGTTTTCCAAGTGAACGATAGTTGAAACTAAAATTGTAATTTGGAAAATTATCAATAAAGAGTCTCCGGTAGACACCTAAAAACAAGAAAGCTCTCTTGTCTAGCGAACAGCGAACATTTTCGTAGAAACGAGAAATTTCGTTTCCAGAGGTTTAATGCGTGAACACTTATGATGCAATGCTGAATAAAAGCAGGCTCAAGTAGACGAGAAAAAGGGAAAAATTCTTGAGGCAGCAGAGCAAAGTGTGATCCATGGGTTCTTACTGAAAAGTGAAGGAACGACGCGACGACCATTCGTCGGTGGTGACGAGAAGGTAGCACGCGCACGCATCGTTCCCAGGGAAGCTGAGGAGGCCACGGTAGTAGGATCAGGTTTTTCTTAGCGCGTCCCTGGTGCGCGGTATTGGATGCTATGCCGTGACGACTCTGCCTCCGATTCGCGTACGTGTTCCCAGCCGACAAAAACGATTATCCCGTGCCAAAAAAGTTGTTATGTAAATGCACTACCTGTCCTAGACTGTTGGTCAGAGATATAACTCTACACTACTTGGTCAAACGAAGAGGATCCTTGGTAGGGAAGCTTCGCTATTGGATGATTATGACGTAAAACTGACGATAGACAACAATCGGGGAAAAATTCAATTTTTCAACGATTGTTTCAACTAATTCAAAATTCAATCGTTCGATGGCGTTCGAAACGTATGTTTCAGCATGTGCAAGCTGAAAAAAATTCATACACAGAAGAAAAAAGAGGAATAAACGTAGGATTTGGATCGCTTGCACAGTTAGTAGGATGATTAATGTGGCTTCGTTGGTCTTCATTTTCCAGATTTTCAGATTATCCTATGCAGGATGATCGATAGGTTTTAAAAAAACAATCAATAGTATCATTTGTTACACGTAATACTTTTGTTGTGACAATCAATTTTTAATACTACTCTAATTTATTTCTAATTGTAAGTAAAACTGATTCGCCATATAGACATCAATACGGTTTTTTCCCTGCTTTATTTTCATAATCTCGTAATTTCCATTGAGCAACGACACTTGTACCATTGAACGGTAAAGAAATATAGAGCGATGTTCGAAACGTTTTTTCATCGCGATGAAAGCGTTATGAGCTGTAATAGGTAATTGAAATCATAAGCATAATAAACGTCACAGTTGGACGTTTCTCATAATCTATGAGCTTTGCTTGTAAATGTTGTTCGAATAAATCCATTTATAAGGAGTGCAGTAGGTCAAATAATTTTACCCACAAATAGAACACCTGTACACACATGGTAAAGAAGAAAAACAAATAGTAAATCGCATATAAATTATACTTTTTAATAGCCATAATTGGTTGATTTCCATATAATAAGACAGGAAAGGGGAGGTCATGAATATTTGAACAAATGACACGTGAAAATCGTTCCATTTAATTAACGTGTAACCATAAAACGATCGAAACTGTAAAGCTTATTATATTTAATAGTATATTCCATGTAAAAGTTATTGGCATCTCGATGTAGTTCAAATTATCGAAGAAGGCAATTTACAAATATGATGGAGGGTGGAATTCATTTAAGAATATGTACTCGGATAAATTCAAGCAAAACGTTGAAAGGGTAAAAAGATGAGCAACCGCTGGTAAAAGCCGTGTTATACCTACAGACGGTGAAGAAATTAATCGGAACCTGAAGGAAATCTAAATTAAATTAAAAATAAAACGTCATAAGCAAACAGCGATGGAGAAAACTTATGTCCATTCGTTTAGCAAGGAATTTACTTTTTAATTTGTATTTTTATCAAATACATTACAAACGTTAATTCATTTTACATTGTTTGCTTATTGGCTACATGTCACGGAGAAACAGTGATACTCTGTTTTACCCGCCTACCCTGTTTTACCCTACTCTCCCCTACCCAAAAAAATGATCTATCGCAAATTCACCACTTAATTAGAGAAAAATTCTGTTGTCATACATTACGATACTACGAGTGAAAGCAGTATTGTTCGACATAATATAACACAATGCGGCATACGCAAGAGATAACGTGACGTAACGTAAAACAGCGTAACTTGTCACGATAACAGAAATGATGACAGTAATAGTGCGTAATATAGTATAAAACGGTTCACGAATAATTGTTTACGAGTTACCGTAGCTATTAAGCTATTAGCAAAAAGTTGATATCCCCTACAAAAAATTCTGTAACTATATTTTTTCAAAAATAAATATTCACAAATTTAATACTTTACAATAAAACTTTCAATAGATGAATTACGTTGTTTGGAACGTCACACAAGTACCTAAAATAAATGTAAAGAAAAATAGGGATTTGAGAAACTCACCTATACGCTAAATATTCTACTGTAACTTTTTCATCCACGTTTAAAGTTTTGACAAAAAAACAAAAAAAAAAATAGAATAATCGACTCAAAAGTCTATCACTTTCTACAATTATCAGTGACACATAATTGAAATTACACCAGCTATTAAGCGTTAGTATTGCAACGGTCATTTCGTAAGTTGGCGGGTAAGGGAGAGCGGAGAGGAGGAGTAGAAGGTGGAGAGGAAAGATCGGTGTCTCATTAGAAAGATCCACATATCCTCTCGGCACAGACGTGTGCGAACTGACTGCAGGGGCCACAATCACAAAAATCTCATGGATCGAGTCACCCCGCTGCTGCGAGGGACTTACTCGATCTCGGTCGGTGTATATAAGCGTGAGACCGGGCCTCAGGTTTGTAATAAGACCTGTCGGCCAGGTTTTTCATCGGCCGGCGGCTCTACCGTATTGCTCCGTATCTCCTTCTGCATTTCTTCTTTCTTTCGTTCTCTCTTGGCTTCCTGTTGCTCTCTTTTTTTCTTCCCGTCTCAGTCGCCCTCTCTCTTCTCATCCCTTAAATATCTCCCTTTTTCCACTCCTGCTCCTCCTGCCACTGTTACTGTGTTTCTCTTTTGTTCTTCCTCTCCCGCTTCGTTCATCTTCCGTTTTATCCTTCTCCCCTTTGTTTTAATTTCTATCCTTTCCTCTTCGTCGCTCTCCAAGACAGTGGCGGTTCGTTTCTTCAGGACACTCTCTCGGTCGCGGCGTCCGATGTCATGCCAGCGGTACCGGTATTAATTTATACGCTGTACGTGTGTGCACGCTGCTTTTTCTCGCAGTTCCTCGAAATTTGCAAGAAACTAGTCGAACACCCTGGCGACTCGACCGTCTGCCGCATACTGTTCGAGGTGAGCTCCTCGCGGTCAGCCTCCTCGCTCACCGAACCGGCCTTGTCCGCCGAACGTCGATCAAGAAACGATTTACCCCTTCGTGTATCGAGATACCGGGAAATTGTTTTCGGGGAACCTGCCGGGCTCGAATTAGGGGAGCATAAATTACACCAATCATTCTAATTCCTTCCGAATATTTCTCCTGCCATTTTATTATTATTATATCATTTATTATCGTCGTCATTCCCTCTTTTCTCGAATGGTTCTTCGAAAGAATTTATATGCACCCTATAAGTTATTACACATTTTTTTAGTTTTAGTTTTGTCTTTTAATTTCGAACAAGATGCTTACTGAGATGGACTTTTAATTTTCTCTATATTAGTGTGGAAATTGTTAGTCATTTTTTTATTACAATATAAATTCATTTTTATCCTCTTACTAATTATCCGATGATCTCTAAATTGAGATACGTAAAATTCTATTTAACAGTTATCTTGACGCTACTTAAAATTATTCTAAAGAAATTATAAAATTATTATTACAAATGTGCAAAGTCTTGCATGTACATAAGTGTCTAAAACCAATTATCGTCTAATTTAATTAATAGCTGCTTTAACGGGGTATTCTCGTTTATCGATTTGGAAAAAGCGAAATTTATTTTTGCATATTTTTTCATAATTTCAAGTACAAAGGATATATTCCCGAACGGGAATTCCAAAATTACACTCACATTTGTCAATGCTGGGTAAAATGGTACTTGGATTAAACGAGATTTATCGTCGTTTCATTAGTCGGAAAGTACAGCAACAAAGTGCTTTATGTTACTGTGAAGTCGAGTTTCTGAAAATTGTGTGACTACTGGAAGAACAAAGACTATAACCAAGAGTGTATGGGCTACTCATTCGAGCAACGTTGGCAAAATGAAAGTGGACGGAGTGATTAAAATGTCCAAAAGATCGATGATCGTTTTGGACGTAAAATAGAAGTAAGTACTGTATACATCGGAGACAAAGGCAGCCAGACATTTAAAGATCTTTTAGATGCTTAACTGCACCGAGACGAACCGCGGAGTCGTAAAACAAAAATGCGCCAATCATGTGCAAAACGGAATGTCATCTGCTATTTAGAAAATTCTCAACTAATAATGTTCATGCTAGTACCAGTAATTTTTAATATTTATTTCAGATCAGCTAGTTATTCAGATATTAATTCCACCAACGGAGAATGCTTTCCACCGCAGACCATCGTTGAACACATGTTACATATATATACACTGTATATTTATATTATGAATAAAAAAAATATGAAACAATACACTGAACACCCTACAACCATATACCAAAAAACTTTTTCGACTGTACATATATTTTCCCAGAAAAGAAAATTTCCAAAGGAAACCCTTTTCTTTCTCGCTTGCAATTGAGAATACCCCTTTAAATTGCATTAAGAATGTGCATGATTTTCTATTGTAATGATTGCTTTAGAGGTAAATAGCAAATTTTAATAAATTTTTGCACAACTTATTTAGTGGTGCAGACGTCGGTCCCTCAGAATGAAGCGGAGCTACAACTATACAGAGTGATGCAACGTGCATCTCTGTTAGGCTACTACGATACGCTTTTAGAAATGGGTAAACAAAATTCTTTTAACGTATTCATTATATTAGAATGCTTCTTGCATGTTATTTCGATAAAAGTTATCAACTATTAATATTAATTTATTAATTTTCTTAATATAAGTTGATTAATTATTCCAAGTATCTCTCCTGGAGTTTATTATTTTATTTATATCAATATTTACGTACAAAGTTTGCAAATATTTATATTTCGTACAATATTTTGCAACAAAAAAAAGTGAAAGTAGTACGTAAATAGATTGTACCATTAAAAATTGTTATTTCGAAATATGATAAATAGAACACAAATTTTTTATATCATTGTTATAAATGTTACACTTTCGTTAAAATAAAATAAGACGGAAAATATAATTCAGTTTAAGTTGTTCTACAACATTTAATTAAAAAAAAAGAAAGAACAGAGTTTGATATAGAAAAGTAAAGGTTACCGTTATATTTTCGCCAAAAGGAGAAATAGTGAAAAATTCAACAATTTGAAAACTACCTACTACAATAAGAAAAAAAAACTACCTATTACTATAAGAAGAAACATGAAACTGTACAATGCAAACTTTCTTCAATCAACTACAAGAAAAAATTGTTAATGGTAATAATACCAAGGTCCCGGATAGCACACAGACATCTTGCGAACGTCTTAAACACGTAATTTTTATACGTATTCAAGATGTCCAGATCAGGTCGTAAGACGTTCAGACCAAAAATTGACGTAAAATAGACATCTCTCTAAGACGTCGTTGTGCTATCTGGGATGAAACATTCTCTTTTAAGATAATTCGTAATATAACTCTATTTCACATTTTAATACACAGTTCCTTTTACTTCGTAAAAGAAACATTAAACCATTTCACATAAACTATTCTAGGTGGTGACGACGTGCAACAATTATGCGACGCTGGGGAGGAGGAATTTCTAGAAATTATGGCGCTGGTTGGTATGGCGAGCAAACCTCTTCATGTCAGAAGACTTCAGAAAGCTCTACAGGAATGGCTCACAAATCCTTGTAAAGTACCACAAAATTACCTCCATTTTCGTTAGATTTAATTAACCTTCCGTCGGACGCACCCATTTCTGAAACGCCATCGGGCGGCACTGGATCTTAGAGATCGGCCTTCAAGAGGTCTTTTACCAAGTGGAAGGTAACTAACTATAGGAATAATAGAAGAACATGAGTGTAAACAAAAGAAGAAGAAAACATCAACATTTTGAGCACATTTGCACACTCATTGCGCAACGCATTGCGTCTATATACATAGATGAATTATGGTTGTACCTGAGAGATCTGGTGCGCCCGACAGAGGGTCAAGCTGATTTTATTCTGGTGACAATTTTTGTTCTTATTGTTCATTTAATCAAACATAAATGACTTTCACCTAACTCTGACGCCTCCATCAAGCAATCTTTTACCTTTCTTGAACTTCTGTAATCCTCTAAAAACCTGTTTTCCTACACAACAAGCTTTTCCAAGTATTCACATTAACAGATTCAACTGGAACACCCTGTATATATCCATGTATTTGAAGAAACTATTAAGTTACAAGAAAGACGTAACATGGTGGCAATAGTTCCTTTACAGGTGGAGACGTAGAGAAGATCTGGAAGTCAGTTTTGTTTTTTTAAATGGAATGTTCAATTCTTTTATAGTCAAATCTGATAGAACAGCGAATGTTGAATATAAAAGTACTATTTGTAAAGCATATTTATCCTAAAAAATAACTATGAAACTGCGAAACTATGCTCGGTACTTCAGATGTAAACGAAAAAATAGCTCTCGTTCAGTGATCACAAGGTTGTCAATATGAAGTTTTAATTCCAAGCTATTAGGGCACAAGCTTTATATGCTGAAAAATATCTGAACCGCGTGTGTCCTTTACACCGGAGGTTCGAAAAGTTGTGTTAAAAATTGAGAGAAAGTTATTTTGCAAGAGTGATCGTAAAAATTCTATTACCAGTGGAGACAGTGAAATTAATGTTCTTGTAATAGTGAATCATGACCCACAGATTAATGTACGATAGATTGGTCTGGAATCTCAGCAGAAGCGGTGTATCAGAAATTCTCGCTCGTTGCAAAAATTTCGTCCGTATCGTATCAGCCTTCATCGGAAGTTACATGGCACGGATTTTCTCAACCATGTTAGATTTTGTGTATGAGCTCAAGAACAGTTACAAATTGATTCGAACTTCTCTTTCATATTATTACTAACACTGGAAGTGTTCATTTATGTAATGTGCACTATTGATCAGTGGAGAATCCTCACTGGCTACAACAAATTGAACATCAAAGAAAATCTCAGAAACGGTGAGTTTTACGATACATGTGCCTTAATTCGCTATTCTATCGATACCGACTATAAAAAAATTAGACATTTTACTTAGAGAAACAAAATTGACCTCCAGATCTCCACTATGCCTCCACCTGTAAAGAAAACTATTATTGCTACCATGTTGTGTCTATCTTGCGACGATACGATTTTTTTTTTTTTTTGTACATTTCACTAATAACGACGTCATAAGTAAATTACAGAATTTGTAACAGAAATTAGAGTGTCGAAAGGTTAACATTTTCTCAAACCTTTACTCCTGTATTACAAATACTTAGTGTATCATAATTTTCTTTGCATTTTGTTAATTAAATCCAAATTAAAAATGGGTAAATAATTATACAAGTTATTTAAACGAATCTCCATATACATAGTAACTGAATAATAAAAATATCGATTCAACTGCTAAAATTTTGTTACAGCACTTTTTCAAACACCAGTCGTACCGACAAGTGCTACCTGCAAAACTCCCGCAGGTGTAGGATTCCCCTGCGTAAGTCCTAGGCCACAGGTGCAAAATCTTCCAGGCTTCACAACAACCTCGCAAACACCAACTCCTACACCTTATGTGTCGTCCCATGTATCCCTAACGCCGTTACCCTGTAGAAGTACCAGCCCTATTGTATCTGTTACGAGTGTGACTGCACCGGTGGCTTCGACAACATTTCAACAGAGTCCGAGCCCGAACACACCTTTGCCTTACGCTACTTCTCACAGTCCTGGTATAGTACAGGTGTGTTTCAACTTATATCTCGAAATTGATATCTGTTTCGTTATCGATAAAATATTACTACTTCTAGGTGGGAACATGTGAGTCATCCTGTGGTAGCGGTACAACACCAAGTCCTAGTGGCGGTGGTGGAGCACCAGCAAGCCCAACCCAACCAACTCCAACCCTTTTGCAATTGCAAATACAAAGACTTGCAGAAGCGGCCGAAAGACTTGCTGCGACAATTCGACCTGTTGACCCGAAACCTCATAATGTTAAGAAAAAAATTTGCAAAAATTTAGAGGTACATTCTATTCTTGTGTCTATCGATTGATCATTGTTTTTCAACGTATAGGGTAATTTTGGGAGAGACGGACCAGGCAAGTATTTCCTACATTATCCGCCAGATATGGAAGAAAATACACCGAGAGCCACGCTCGATCGCTTTCCGTAAAACAAATGTAAAACAAAAGAATACTGACGCGTTCCACATAATGTAGGAAATACTTGCCTGGTCCGTCTCTCCCGGAATTACCCTATATTGTATTTTCGTTTGTTTATAGCTTATACATTTTGTGTAACGATATTATTTTTAGGTAGTAATGGCTATGCCCGACAGTGATCCACGTAGAATGGAAGAAATTCGAAAATATGCAGCAATTTATGGAAGGTTTGACTGTAAGAGGAAACCAGAGAAACCATTGACATTACATGAAGTGTCAGTAAATGAAGCTGCTGCACAAATTTGCAGGTTCGTACCTGCCCTTCTTACTAGAAGAGATGAACTTTTTCCTTTGGCCCGCCGTATTGTGAGAGATTCTGGGTATCATTATTCAAAAAGTCATTAGTAAGTATCTTTAGTTTTTATCAAATATTGTTAATTGTATCAAATGTATATTTAGGAGGTAAGTATGCAGGATTAATATAGAGAGAAATAAAGGAAAATGCCTTACGAAAGAAATGATATACATTACAAGTGCCACAAAAATTTTATCGAAACAAATTCGTTTGTCCTTCGTCAGTCTCAGTTTTATCTAATTAAACAGTTCTATCTAATTAAGTTAACTGAAATATCCCACTGATATTTAAAATGGTTTAGCTTATCCGTGTTGAAACCACGTGAAAATGGTGAAGAAAACGAAGTTGAGCAAACAAAACGGCAAAAGCTCGATCTTGAGGGTGAGAATGAAGATGCGACGCAGGTTAGCTCACCTCAAACATAAAAATAAGCCATGTACAGATGATTTCAGTTCAGTATCGTCATAAACTTAGGACAAAATCAAGGATTTTGACATAAGTGTAACCAATTTTTTGTATTAATGTGATACAGATATAGGGAATAGTTAACAAGATGTTTTTATTGTAATTTAGAATAGCGTGGAGAGAAATTTTATTATACCATTAGATGAAATTTGAAAGAAAAAATTATACAGAAAAAAACAATGCGAAAACGTGTACTAGTGCTACTTGTTTTAAAGTTATGACAACGTTAAATATAATAAACGAAACATTAAGAATCTGAGAAAGTATTAACAGTCTGAAGAACTGAGATAATTTACATTTTCAATAGGTAATAATTTAAAAAAAAAATTGTCGAGCAAAAGACACAAAGTAAATGATCTAGAATGATTTAAAAGTGGATAATATCCAAAAGTATCCAATGCACTCCAAAGACAGAAAATTATATTTCAAAATCCTTGATGGAATCCCATAGTTGTGATTTGATCTGGGATTGTTGGCATATTCATGAGCTGCTGCACTCGCATGAGCGCTAAACTACTAACTATGCATCCAGCACGTAAACAAATGCAACATGTAAACTACCACTACACATTGATACCTGTATGAAGCACAGGCAGAAAAGGTCAAGTATAGCTTTTGCATAACATGCATGGCTTTGCACTGGTTGTTTCTATATAAATATCTGGTTGGTTCGTGAACTTTTTAATTAAATGTTTTATAAATTTACGCATCAAACATTCTTCTAACGATCTATATTTTCCCTTCAATTGTTATTTAATTAAAAATTAGTTATGATAAGAAATAGTAATTGTAAGATGTTACTCTAGACTACAAAATATAAATTGTCGGTAAATCTTTCAAAATTTTTTATCATATGATCATTTAATTAAATGAAAATTAGATTGTTAATTTGAAACAATTTCTTGGTAAATTAGTTGACGTTCCATATTTTTAAATGAATCTATTTTGTTAAAAAAAAAAAAAAAGAAAATTATTAATTAATATCTTCAAATATCATCACTGTTTTGCTTCACACTTGTTAGGATTCTATGCTTTGTTCCTGGTATCCTCACAAGTTGTGCATGCTCAATGTATTACCTGTCATTCGATACTTTCTAATATCTATAATAGCTACTTCTATATAATATTCTAACTTCTATTCTCTCTATAATAGTTTTCTTCGTGTTTTCACATTCTATGTTATATTTGTCATTTCTACTGTCTGTAGCAGTTCACTGTTGTAGGAGGAGTTGGATTTACGTTGCCCTGAGATGGATATGAATAATTCGACAATTCGAAGACACAGATCATCAAGGTGATTACTTTGAGCTCAATTGGATCTTAAAATATTTTGCGTATCGCATAATCCTTTTTTTGCTTAATAACATATAATTTGATGATAAATAATTTTTGCAAGTGTATAGTACGGTACTCAGACATTTGCATTGTTTTAGTCCAGTTTGGAGGAAGAAGAATAACAATGGTATTTTCAGTGCGAGTATAGAAGGAATTAGTGATTCTGACAGTCAGCTCTCATTTTCAAATGAAGAATCTTCATCGATACATGTGAGTGAAGAAATTAAATATATTTTTCTGTGAAAAACTTAGGATATTTTACATTTTGGATGTTGTTCCGAATGGTCGATCGAGATGAAACTTTGTGAGTGTTGTGGAGGGTACGAAAGGACTCCAAATATAAAATCTTAGCTTCGGGGATCCACCCGTTCGGAAGATACAGATTCTAACCTAACCTAGCTTAACCTAAAAATCTGCCAACATCTGCGAGTTACACATAAATGTAATATCTCAGTCTATTTATAACTGTTGTACTTTTCTTTAAAACTGTTTTAAGAATCAATAGAATGGATATAATAATAGTTTTCAATCCTTGATAAAGATTTCCCATGTATATTTTCAATTTATAAAAATTAATAAAAGGCTATTTGCAGGACACTAACGAAATTGAAGCAGATAATACGGATAAAGAGAGTGATTTCAATCTTAAGGTATGCTTTTGTTTTATTATTTTGTAAGAAGGATAAATTATATTTTTTTCTAGACAAAATAAAAACAGTACTATAAGACTTCTATTTCCATTTTCACGTTCTAAGCCATAGATTCAATAACAAATTTAATAATATACCTTTAGTTTGATCTCGTTTTATTGGAAATGAATGTGCTCATATATTTCGTTCAATCAAACGTACACTAATCGTTAGTTTTGCATTCATTTCAATCGAATATAGGTAATAGCTTCACGTGGAGACAATATAATCGCAGTGGCAAATCCTGCATTAATGGAATGTAATCATCCTATAAAAGAAGAACCAACAGATGAAAAACCTATGCTGTGATATTGTTAAAAAAATGTATTATCATACTCTTATCATTTCCAGAGATATATTTCAGCTTTTATTACAATTAGTATTATTATTGTGCATTTGACCACTGTCGTGTTATTTACTATAACGATTCTTATATCAGTTGTTGCTTATGTACACTTGTGTAAATACGTTCATTAAAGATTATACGAAAGCTAAAAGTGTTCAACTTTATAAATGTTTTTTTGTGAAATTAACAACATTATGTTAATACGACACTGGTCATTACGTAATTTTAATACAGTGATCCCCGGATCAGTATAACGACACGTTACAATTTAACATTACATTTAAACGTTACATTTAAACCGGAGGTAAGGGAAATTCTCATCATGTTTTTGAACACAATTTTAAACGAGCGTCATTTGAGTAGAGATACTCTGAGAGGAAGCGAGATAGATCATCGATCGACGGTTAAATGTTTATTGATAGGAAAGAGTCATCGTATAACGAAAATAAACAATTTTCTATTGATGAACATATTACAAATGATATTTTCCAATGAAAATGAGACCACACACGAACTCATTCGGTTTTGCGTAAGATGGATTCGACAGTCGGAATATCTCTGATGTAATGCTCGAAGTGAAAAATATTTATGTATTACTTTATTTTGAATTTTCTTAAGCACAGTATAAATACGTTTTATTGAAAATAAGTATTATTATTGAAACACATATATTATTATTCAAGCAACAAATAGCGCGAATGAGATCGTGTTTGTACTCATTTTAATTAGAAAAACTTTATCTATCTATTAATAACATTCTCGTGAATATAACATGGAAAATAAAAAATTCTTCATTTTCGTTATGGTGGGGATACGAATGTTACACTGATCCGGGGCGAGAAAACGTTACACTGATGCGGGGAACACTGTAAAAACTTTATATATATTATACAAAAAACTTTTAGATATTGTATATAATAAGTTTCTTTAAGTCAAAACAAAGCGCGTATTGACTGAAATATAATTACATATTGTATGACGTTAAAATTTGTAAATATACAAGGAGCATTTTTTATTCAATGTATTGTATTTTTAAAACAATTTACTCATCATTCGATTCATGTAAAGTTAATAAATATATATATGAGAAAAATTATTTTATACTGCCCAGTATACGAAAAGTGAGTGTAAAATGTATTAAAAGTGTATTTATTAGTCTACTGTTAAATTGTAATTTGTCTGTTAAGCTCAAACGTTATTCGGTTAATTATCTTAAAAAGTGTTGTTATTTGGAAAGTACTGCAATTACTACATTTATTATAATTCATCTTGTAGTAGGATTTTATGGAATGCAAGGATATTCTTTGGTATCTGGGAAAAAACACACAAAAGTGTATTTATCTTTCGTCGATACATGTTAAATGTTTGGTACAAAATAATTTCGAACAAATCAATGCAATGTTCGAGCTGTTGCTTTTGCTTTCGGGCGTCCGGCTTTAAACAGCCGTACTCTCCCATTACAATATTAACGAAACGGATAAAACGATTTATAACACTTACTGTGGGAAGTCGTCCGGTGAGCCTCCTGTACTCTACTCTCTGGAAGGCGTCCGGCGGATAGTCCAGCCGTTCTTTCCATTCCAGGAGCGACCCAGGTATAGCTCCCGTACTCTCCTATCACAATATTCAAGTGAGACGCGTATGATCAGAGAGTCCACCAGCACTTCTCCTGGAAGGCGTCCGGCGGATAGTCCAGCCGTTCTTTCCATTCCAGGAGCGACCCAGGTATAGCTCTCGTCCTCTCCTATCACAATATTTAAGTGATACGCGTATGATCAGAGAGTCCACCAGCACTTCTCCTAGTAGGCGTCCGGCGGATAGTCCAGCCGTTCTCTCCATAGCACCAGAAGTACTAAGCAATCCTCTCCGAGCTTCCTCAGGCGTCCGGGTAACCTCCCTGTACTCTCCTCTCTCAGAGGCGACCGGCGGATAGTCCCCAGCCGTTCTCTCCTCCAGAGAGTGACCCAGGTGTCAGTCCCCGTACTCTCCTGTGCTGTCAGAGCGTCAGAAAGCTAGGCTTCGTACTCTCCCACTCTGAAGGCCGACCTCTCTCCCAGCAGAGTACAACAAGAATGCTTGGCTGCGTCCGCGGCCGTGGTATTTATATCTGAGCGTTGCTAATGACGCGCGACTTATCAACAAGACGCGACGCTAAGTGGTTTCCCGCGCGAAACCGCGAGACTCCCGCGTAAAACCGCGAGTCTACCGCGAATCGCAAGTTAGTTTCTTCCAGAAGTTTCTATCGCTTCGCGATTATTTGATTGACGACGAGGATAGGGAGTCGTCCCTCTCACTTCCTCTCGCGGAATGGAAATTTTTTGTCGCCGTCTTCGTTGATGGTTGTTACAATCTTTAAATTCTGTGTAAATCAGACGTCAGGTACCGATACATACTATGATCTTTCGCTATGGCAGCCGATTTGCTCGTATTATTTGCTATACAATTCTAATTACATATCAAATAATATCGATTGCCCAGGCCTCACCACGTGGAGGTTGCTGCGAATGGAGGCCCGCCCTATCCACGTCCCGTCCACCCTCCTTTTACGCGACTACTATTCCTTTTTTAATCATTAATGCAACACAACACCTCTTACTGATCATACATTTGCAATGCGCTCAAATTTTCGATCGCTATGCAAACGGACAATAATAGGAGACTGAAAGAATTCGAACTCGAATAAAAATCGACGAGAGAAAATAGAGAAAAGAAAAAAATACAAAAAAAAAAAAAGAACGTTAAAAGTATCCTATTAATTTTAACTTAAAGTACTTTAAGTTTCGCTTAAACTTATCTTACACCTAGCTTACTTATAACTTCATTCACACTACACTTAAAACTAGGAGTTAACTTACACCTGACATAAACTTGGAATTTTTTCAACCTGAAAGCTACCACCTTAAATAACTACGTGTTTCTCTCTTAATTACAGCAGCACTGTAATTGAAATTTCATTAAAAACTTTCCTGCTTAAATGTTAAAATCTTGAATAATATCCTGCGTAACTGAAAATCATACTTATCTTAAAAATTGCCTGCCTGACTAAGAATCTAACTTAACGTTAAAAATTGCATGCCTGACTAAGAATTTAACTTAATATTAAAAATTGCCTGCCTATCTAAAAATTTAACTTAAATTAAGAATTGCCTACCTGACTAAGAATTTAACTTAATGTTAAAAATGGCCTACCTAACTAAAGATTTAACTTAAATTAAGAATTGCCTACCTGACTAAGAATCTAACTTAATGTTAAAAATATCCTGGCTAATTAAAATTTCACGTTCGTTTGAAAAACAACTTGCCTGATTAAAAATCTATATTGTACCCTGCCTATTCTGAAAATTTAAAGTGATATAAAGGAAAAAGTAAGAGAAATATCAGTGTGATGCGATAAATTGCTCCATGCTTCTCTGCCACCTGCAACAAACTCAAAACTCAAACGATTTTAGTAGTTAGATTTTACAAGTCGCTATATGGGCATCATTTACTTCCTTTCTTCCAATAATTCCCTCAGTTTTCGGTAAAGCGAATCTGTAACAAACTCGTTTTTTCTTGGATTAATAAAAGCAAAAATGAAAGTTTAACAGCTGAAAAAAAAGATATTACGCACATATATGTATAAAATATTAATAATAATTATTATTGGGGAATGGAGTACTGTTTCCGTAAGGACACAGCTTACATCCGAAAGCCTCAGTAATAATAATTAAAAATGAAGGTTTAACAGCTGAAAAAAGAAAAAGACACTGTGCACACATCGTATGTATATTTTTACGTATTCGTTGAAATAAACGTGATATTAAAAGAATAGAAAGGTACTTTACATTGTTAGCAATTACTTGGTACACATTGATAACAAATCAAAGGAAGAATCTTTGCTAACTGAATAGGAATAAACGGTAATTGTAAAATATAAACTGGAAAATTCCTATACCGAATACCAAGATGAAAAAGAAAAGAGACTAAAATTGTGTACGATTCATTTAGAAGTTATTTTCACCGAAGAAAACGTGGAGAGATGTTCCAATTTACTCTTCATTTGGAATTTAAAACCGAAATAATCGCACAATTTACCGCAATTTTATCTACATTATTATTTTTTTCAATTAGCAACGAGTATGCGACGTTGTACCGATGATTCAAACATTTCACTATGAATATTACGAGCCAACTACTTTCCACGTAACAAATGTTTCTCTGCAAGCTTTTTATGTCATACTCGCAATATGAAAAGTATAATCGCGAGTGTACTTTAATTCGTGCAAAGCTATTTCGAAAATTTATAAAAATTCACTATACCCTACTGTTGCATCAGTCGGTATGTAAATTTGAAAATATTACCGACAGATGAATCTCACGTAGCGAGAGAAGTAAATTAACTCTAATAACAATTAATCCTTATTTTTTTTTTTTTCTAAGAATTCACCGAGCTTCTACTTGTACTTTCATTCGTTAATAATTCTTCCTCTGATATATTCCGATTCAATTCGAGATTCTCAACGTCTCAAAGTCATTATTACGTTTTTAAAAATAAATCATCATCGATATTATGTAATATCGTAAATATTAATAAATATCTGTTATAGAAATTCAACGAATACAATTCAACAGTATTTTATGACAAACACTCGGTAGATTTCATAATCCACTCGTTCTAAACCCGAGCAAAAACCGAGAGTGGTATAATTCTTTCGCAACACTAATCTATCAAATGTATGAAATAAAAAGAGTCTCAGAATCAATCGCGGCGAGTGCTTCATTTTACTTGCAATCTGAATTTACGAAAAAAATAATGATAAAAAAAGTTACCGTTAAACGGGAGAGCAGCCACGTTAGGGCGCTTTGGGCAATACGAAAAACACTCTATGCACTCTGTAATTTATAATACGCAACACTAATAACGGGGGGATCCATGGCAGTCGTAGTCAGGGCTACTGCCCTGATCTCCTTTGGCGCAGCTTTT